AGAAACCAGGAGAAGCAGTACCTTTGTAGTCAGAATGTTATCCAACTGTATATTGTTTACTTTATTGTAAATACTGGTAAACAGTGGTCAATAAATAGTTTTATATGCCTTAAAAAAAAAAAGGAAAACAATCTCATTTACAATTGCATCAAAAATAAAAAGATACCTAGGAATAAATTTAACCAAGGAGGTGAAAGACTGGTACTCTGAAAACTATAAAACATTGATGAAAAAAATTTAAGACAACACAAAGAAATGGAAAGACATTCCATGCTCATAGGCTAGAAGAACAAATATTGTTAAAATGTCCATACTACCCAAAGCAATCTACAGATTTAATGCAATCCCTATCAAAATACCAAAGTGTTTTTCACAGAACTGGAACAAACAATCTTAAAATGTGTATGGAACCATAAATGACCCTGAACAACTAAAGCAATCTTGAAAAAGAAAAACTGGAGGTACCCAATTGCAGATTTCAAGTTATAGTACAAAGCTATAGTAATCAAAATAGTATGGTACTGGCACAAAAACAGACCCATAGGTCAATGGACAGAATAGAAAACCCAGAAATAAACCCACAATTATATGGTCGATTAATCTTCAACAAACGAGGAAAGAATATCCAATGGGAAAAAGACAGTCTCTTCAACAAATGGTGTTGGGAAAACTGGACTATTTTCTTTCACCATACACAAAAATAAACTCAAAATGGATTAAAGACCTACAAGTGAGACATGAAACCATAAAAATCCTTGAAGATAGCACAGGCAATAATTTCTCTGACGTCAGCCATAGAAACATTTTTCTAGATATGTATCCTCAGGCAAGGGAAACAAAAGCAGAAATAAACTGTTAGACTACATCAAAATAAAAAGCTTCTGTACAGCAAAGGAGAAACAATCAGCAAAAACAACAAAACAAAAGGCAACTTCTGGAATGGGAGAAGATATTTGCAAATGATGTAGCTGATAAAGGGTAAGTATCCAAAATATATAAAGAACTTACACAACACCCAAAAAACAAATAATCCATTAAAAATGGGCATAATAAATGAACAGAAATTTCTCCAATGAAGACATCCAGATGGCGAACAGACACATCAAAAGGTGCTCAACATCATCATCATCATCAGGGAAATACAAATCAAACCTATAATGAGCTACCACCTCACATCTGTCAGAATGGCTAAAATTGACAACACAAGAAACAAGTGTTGACGAGGATGTGAAGAAAAAGGAACCCTTGTGCACTGTTGGTGGGAATGCAAACTGGTGCAGCCACTGTGGAAAACAGTATGGTGATTCGTCAAAAAATTAAAAATAGAACTATGATCCAGTAATCGCACTGCTGGGCATGTACCCTGAAAATACAGCAACACTAATTCAAAGGGATACATGCACCCCTATGGTATAGTAGCATTATCGACAACAACCAAATTATGGAAGCAACCCAAATGTCCCCTGACTGATGAATGGATAAAGATGTGATATATATATACACACACACACACACAATGGAATATTACTCAGCTATAAGAAAGAATGAAATCTTGCCATTCAACAACATGGATGGAGTTAGAGAGTATAATACTAAGTGAAATAAGTCTGTCAGAGAAAGACAAGTACCATATGATTTCACGCATATGTGGAATTTAAGAAACAAAACAAACAAGCAAAGGGGGAAAAAAAGAGAAAACCAATAGACAGACTCTTAACTATAGAGAACAAACTCATGGGTGCCAGGAGTGGGGGAGGGAGATGGGTGAAATCTGTGATGGGGATTAAGGAGTGCACTTGTTGTGATGAGCACTGAGTAATGTATAGAAGTGTTGAATCACTATATTGTACACCTGAAACTAAAAACCCTATGTTAACTATACTGCAATAAAAATAAAACAACTTTAAAACACTTAAAAGATATTTAAAAAATGAGAACTCCATCATGACTATCTTTGCAACTTTTCTGTAAATTTAAAATTATCCCAAAATAAAATGCTTATTTAAAAATTAAGATGAAATAATGAAATACAATCAATCATATGTCCTATTTAGCAATACTAGATACAGATGATTGTGAAAAGAGTGACAGCAATGATAATAAGGGAATAATTATGCATGTCTTCTATGTTAGTAGGAATACATTTGTGAAAAATAAAGGCAAATTCAAGAACAAAAGTCACTAACTTATACTGGCATAAAAGGCAAAAAACTTCACTGATGCTAAGCCATTTGCAGTAAAATAATAATGAGCCTGTGGGGAGGTGGAGGAGGAGCTGGGTGGCTGCTACAGAATGTTCCCTGGGGATACTGTAGAGCATATATTATATGCCAGTTCAGTAATGGCTCACTTCAGGAAGTGTACCCAAAAACCCCACAAATTATGTCCACCCACATTTCCAACTTTTGTAGAGGTGTTAGTTGTAAAAGGCACCAGGATCTCATGGCCCTAAAAACCCCCTTCCTAGTCTCCCTCGTTGGGATGTCCTGTCAGAGCCCCATCCAACACCAGAACCATATGGCCCTGGGTCCAGAAACCATCTTGGCATTACTAACCCACCTCCTATGAGTTTCAAAAATCCAAGGAATACGTTACGGTTAAAGCCACGTAATACCCCATAGGTATCAAAACTGATTTCTTTGTTACTGGTTACCACTGCTTAAACTTGAGAGAAGCGGGGTCTTACCTGCTGGAAAAATGATACGGTCCTTCAAAAGAGTAGGCTAAAATAACCATCTATTAAGGCAACCAGGGTCTGCTGCCCCACACATTCCACAGACCAGCAGTTCCCAGCATGTTGTCTTCAGAACTAGTGAGTCGGAAACTCTGGAGTGGGGCCCAGGAACCAGTGTTTTAACAAGCTCTCCAGCTGATTCTGATGCATGCTGAAGTTTGGGAACCACTACCATAGGCCATACAGTACAGTACTGAAAATCTGTTACCAGTAACCCCAAACCAGAAACATCTGTGGACTCAAGTCTAAATGAAATTTTAAATGAGAACTTCAGAGTCATGCCCAAAGCTTCTCTGTGTCAAAGCAGAACAGAGCCTAAATTTTTTCCTTAGTATTTCTTACCTGGAGGGATATGAAGTCTATATAACAGCTTAATTTTCTCATTCATTTCTCCATTATACATAACATCTGCAAAAACAGAAAAGAGACTGAGTATATGCAAATGGTTAAAGTACATTTGTCATGACACAAACTCACTGTGGGGAGAGAACTTAGTAAGGTCAATACTTATTGACCCAATACCTCGTTGCCGCTATCCCCAGACACACTATGTTTGAAATGAAAATGTAAAAGGTAGCAATTGGTCACTATTGACCGGCAAGATAACCTCGTGAACTCTGGCCTCACACAGTCTGAAAGATTTTAATTTTTTGTGCAAGGCTTAGGAACGTGGCTCCTAACAAGCCACCACCACACCCTGGGTACCGGAGGAGAACAAGGGCAATGACCTTGTATGTTGACAGTGTGGGCCCTTCTCACCCTCCTTAAGGAAGCATAAAATTAGACATGAGAGGAGCCTGCAGAGTGGTTTCTAAAATCACAAAATCATGTCAGGCCCGTGCCCAAATACATTTCATCGTGTGGGTCTGCCTGCTCCACAGTCCACCTTGTCTTGTGTTCATGGACTCCCGTCCCAAATTAACTTGCCACGGTGAAGACCCACAGAGTCCTACCGAGACAGCTCACAAATGCTCTGAATTCGATCAGATGATCCATGTTGTCATCCAGGAGCCTGAAAGTCCTTTCAGCGAGGATCTCCGTGTGGGCCCCACAGGTCCAGGGCGAGACAAGCTGAAACAGGTGTGTAAACTGCCGGACGTCTATGCGGTACTGCTCTGCATAGGGCCTGCTGGGGTCATGGCGTGGGGCCACCGGCCTGGGCTGCTCCCAGTAGCAGCTCATCATGTGTTCTCTCTTAAAACAAGAGAGAGGGATCTTTGAGAGATGGTGGTCCCTGGAGGAGCCCGCACGCTTACAAGCCACGGTCCACACAGCCCTCTCTCAGGACTCACCTGGCCTTGGAAAATATGTATTGAATAAGCAATATTATAACACAAAGTGAAAAAATTAAAGCACTTGCAATCTCATTACTCTAACCAGACATGTAAAACATTTCCCTTGTTACCTTCTTGTACTTCTTACCCACATGAATATGTAATTTTGACCTCTTTTTCTAAGGTTACTTTTTTCATGATGGCAAACTACACCTAACAAAATTTACCGTTTTAACCATTTTAACCATTTTTTCAGTGTGTACTTTAGCTGCCATAGTGTTAATTCTAGGAGACCTAATTTTTATTCTATTGTCTCATAAAATCACACCTGGAAATGACAAAGCGCTAACTAAACAAGTCTACAGAATACAGCAGAAACCAGTAGCATGGGTTGCCTGTCAGGAGGGAAAACGGGTGGGGACCCCAATGTAGAACCAAGTCCTTTTACTGCATACTTGCTTACAGGTTTTGAATTTTGAACCAAATGACTATATTAACAATTCAAAAAAACCAGAAAAAACAAAAAAAGGGACTCAAAGTCTTAGGACTATACCAACAACTACAGCAATCAAAACTGGCCCTGTCCCTGAGGCTCGCCTCTTTAGGACCATCTTTTACACCCATACGAAATCACCTCCTGGGGCATCTCGACTCATAGAAATGGCTCCCAGTAACTGCAGGGTTCTTCACAATTTCACTGCCCTCCACCTGTAAGAGTGGCACAGACACAAGTGTGGATGCTGTAGTACGCAAGCACATATCCTTGGATGAAAACCAAAATGCCATTTCTAATTTTACTGTTGTGTTGGTTGGCAGCCGAATTCTTCAAATAGTCTTTGTAGAATTGTGAAAGATGCCACAGGAACTTTTCAGTGTGAAACAAAGGTCTAATGAATTTCCATTCCTAAAAGCCCCAGACATACTATGAAATTCCATGTACATTTGTGCATCCTGTGATGCTAAACACCCACAGAATCCTGCCAAGAAAACAATTACAATAAGCAAACCAAGGACTTGGCACTGTTGGACCTCATTAGTGGAACTGAATTTTGAAAAAATCAAAAACACTTTAGCAATACAGGCTACAGTTTGGTTTGTGTATCCCTGACGAACTCATCCTACAGAAACTGCAGCACCGGTGTCCAGATAAAGGCACAGAGAGCTCAGGGCAGCAGTTTATAAAGCAGCAAAAAACTGGAAACTTCAATGCCTCTCGATAGGTAAATGGTTAAGTAAATTATGGTTCAACCCTACGGTGAAACTGTACAGCTATTTTAAAAAATTTTTTAATGTTTTTATTTATGTTTGAGAGAGACAGAGACAGTGTAAGTGGGGGAGGGGGAAAGAGGGAGACACAGACTCCAAAACAGGTTCCAGACTCTGAGCTGTCAGCACAGAGAGCCCAATGTGAGGCTCGCACTCACGAACTGTGAGATCATGACCTGAGCTGGTGGGATGCTAAACTGAGCCACCCATGTGCTCCACAACTATACAGCTATTTTTTACATGAGAAAAGATCTGTATATTATCTATAAAAATATCCATGATAAAAAAACTGCAGGCTAACATGTAGCATAATCTGTTATGTGTGGGAAAAAATGTGTGTGTGTGTGTGTGTGTGTGTGTGTGTGTGTGTGTGTGTGTGAGAGAGAGAGAGAGAGAGAGAGAGACATAGTATAAAAGGGAAAAAAAATCAGGAAAGATACTCACCAATTTGTTAATAGGAATTACCTGTACAAGGGTAGGACTGCAGGTGGAGACAGGATGAGACCCTTTCATTTTTGCTTAAAAGTTTCTTCTTTTTTTTTTTTTTTTATGGGAAGAATAGGTATAATTTTATTTTCTTTGTTTTGTGATTTTTAATTAAAAGTTGAAAATAAGTCTTAACCAGAATATGGGAGCAAGCAAAATATTAAAGAGACCAAATAAACTTTTAAAAGTTTATTTATTTTGAGTAAGAAAGAGCAAGAGCAAGGGGGTGGGCAGAGAGAGAGAGAGAGAGAGAGAGAGAGAGAGAGAGGGAGGGAGAATCTCAAGCAGACTCTATGCTGCCAGTGCAGAGCCCACTATGGGGCTCAAACCCACAAATCAGGAGATCATGACCTGAGCCAAAATTAAATTTTGGCTCCCAAATATTATTAAACAGCCTGATAATTCATTCAAGAGTGAATGAATTTAACAGATCATTAATAAGAGCAGGTTTATGGAATACATAAATAACTGTTTTTCAGGTCTTTGGTGTTTCCAGAAATATTCTGTGACACCAAGTTTGTATTATATTGTTCACATCTTACTGGGGTAAGATTAATGATACTGTTCTCAATTTGAGAGAATAGGAGACAGACATCACAAATCTGAATTTATATAATTTGAAAGACTGCTTTACAACACGGATGGACCATGAAGGCATGATGCGAAGTGAAATAAATCAGGCAGGAAAAAAAAGAAAAATATTGTATTGATCTCAATCTTATGTGGAATCTAAAAACAAAATGCCAAACTCGAAAAAAGAAATCAGACTTGTGGTTCTCCGAGGCTGGGGTGAGGAGTGGGGGAACTGGGTGAAGTGGCCAGAAGGTACAAATTTCCAGTTATAAGAAGCACTAGGGATGTAATGTATGACGTGACGACTATAGTTAAGGGCTATATGGTATACTTGAAAGTTGCTAAGAGAGTGGATCCCAAAGTTCTCATCATAAGGAAAAATAATTCTTAAGCTTACTGTAGTAATCACCTGACAATATACGTAAGTCAAGTCGTCATGCTGCATGCTTTAAACTTACAGTGCTGGATGCTGGTCATATCAATAAAACTAAAAGAAAAAAACTGCATTCAAACCTTAAAAAACTGCTTTAAATTACCAATAAAAATAGATTTCATTAAGTATCAACCACATGGTTCATCTTGAATAGGAAAGAGTATGTAATGAAGACAGTCAGAGCTACTGCTTGTTAACACAGAAGGATCATGCCCATTCATTCCAGGCTTAGGGAAGGATGCAGTGAAGTTATGGAACAGACTCCTTATTAATAACCTATCATGTATTTATAAAGCAATGGAAGGGTATCTCTAGGTGAACCTTTCCCTGAGAAAATGAAATTCTGACTGAAAAGACCAGAGGTGTATGTAAAACCCAACTAGAGAACATTATACCCCACACAGTACTTAGGCAAGTATTATGACACATGACGTCGGGCTATGAAAGCCAAGGGAATTCAGAGAAGGCCAGAAGCATGGAGAGAAAGGACAGTCTGACAGGGCTCTTACGTGGTGGGGCACATGCAGACTCTGGGCCCAGAAGCACTGGAGCGAGTACATAAAAGTGCTGTACAACGCAATCAGACACCATGATTATCATGCTATTTTCCTGCAATTTCCTTTGGAAGTGTATCTTAAAAAATATTTTGTATTTATAGTTCTTAAGTTTCTATTTGTAGTTAGTCCTAAGAGTTGGAAAGCTAACTACAAATAAAATTTCATTAAGTACCAAACACATCGTTCACAGGAAAGACAGAAATAGGAAAACAGCTCTACCTTCTTTAAATACTCTTTGTATTAAAGATGAACATGGCTAGTATTTAATGACTTTTACTCATTTAAACCAGTCTTTTAAATTATATAAATTCAGATTTGTGTCAGGTCTTAGACTGAGAACAGTTAGCCTTAAATAAACGAAATACTTTCACGCTAAACAACACACTTGTCTACCTGTCTTTATGTTTCTAGTATTCCCTATTTTTCCTCCTCGAAAGTCGAAGAGACGTGGGGGCTTGGGACACCAGTAACCTTTGACTTCATATTTTCTCTTCTCAACAGAGGAAACTATCAAACTTGAAGACAGGGGATGTTCATAGAAGACACGGATCTGAGAAGTCCTCCCTATACATCCTGCTCACTAGGAACGAGGGTGCCAGGACTCTAGGCCAACAGCCATTTCAGTGACTGCAGGCAAATATGCCACGACAGATGTGCACAAGGTTCAGACCACCTCTACTGCTCTGCTTAGAAGCACCTGACGTGTAGCTTAGTACTATTTCCATCAGTTTGACAATCTGAGTTCAGGAAGGACAGCAGCTCAGAGTCCCCACCAGGAAGGGTTCTGGAAGCCAGACTCCAGACTTGCTTCCTCCAACTGTCCTTTCTCCCCCTTCACTGCCATAGTGTCAGGTGTGGGTCACCTAAATCCTGCCTGTCTTCCCCATTTTCATCTGCTGTTTCAAGCAAGGACAGTTCTAGCAGGGTTATGGAAAATTTTCTCTGCTGCGTGATTTAAGTAGCAAGATCTGGATATCTACCTCAATATCCAAATATTAGAAATACGGTTTAGTATATTTAGTATCGTCAATGATAGACTCTAAGGTCATTTTAAAATGAGTAAGACTACGTGGCAACATGGAAAAGTGCTAGTAAGAGTATCAAGGGCAAGTCAAGTATAAAGTAACGTGCTCTTAAAGCCAAATATCAAAATATGTCAACATGTATTACGGATGGGAGTAGGAGTCATTACAAAGCATAGGAGGTGGTGATGATAGTAATGGTCACTGTTCCACGTACTCAGGCCTGGGAACTCCATGGAGAACCGTGAAGAATGGGTTACCGGCACCCAAGGCCCTCGGCAGAGCACAGCTCTCGTGTGTGAGCCGCAGGCAGGCGAGGAGAAGATGGAGCCAGCAAGTGGGGCAGCTCCGGCCTCTGCTGCCACTGAACAGGCGCGTGGCAGACTCCGCAGCTTCCACGTGCTCACCCACCCACCCCGGCAGGCCAACAACATGGGCTTGGCCTTTCACTCCCCCATTTGCCCAGAGTTTCCTACCTTGAATAAGTCATAGAGTTCTTCCAGGTCTTCAGGAAGAATGGAGACTTCTGGGGTAACAACGCGGAGCTTGAAAGAAGAATGAACAGCAATGGAGTGAGTTCTGTGCCAGCACCTAGGAGGATCGGAGGCACAGGGGGCTCTTCTTGCTCGTAGGGGGGCGAGGGGACGCCAGGCGCCAGTCCTGTCTACCAGAGCAGCCTGTTCCTCTCTGACGCAAAGATCACCATATGGTAACTTTCTCAAGGTGTTTACCCTCAACCTTTCCAATTCACACATCAGTGCCTCAGGACAAATGTGTAGGTTCTGACAGAAGTCAAACTCTAGCAAAGACGGGGCTTGGGCAGGAAGTTCCGCCTGAATAACAACGAACACTGCAGGCCTTCTGTGCTAGGCATTTTATATATCAGACTTCATTTAATCCCAGATGCTGGGTATTAGTATCCTCATTTTACAACCGGGTAAGCTGGGGCTCACGGTGGTTAAACTGCTCACAGTCTGACTTGAGAACCTCTGCTGTTTCTATACCAGGTCATTCTAATTCAATGGGGGGTGGGTACAAAGCTGGCATTAAGTTTATGTATTTCTTTTTAGTAATCTCTACACCTAATGTGGGGCTTGAACTCATGACCCTGAGATCAAGAGTTGCAGGCTCTTCTCACTGAGCCAGGCAGGCACCCCAAAAGCTGGCATTCTTATGAGACCAACAGGAGACCAGAGCCCAGGTTAGTGCCTGACTGCCATTCTGATAACCCTTGACTCACCACATTCTGCTTTGTGGTATCTTCATGGCCTTGGAGAACCCTGATCCTGTGCTTACAGCGCAGGTGCTCAATCTGCTCCACAGACTGGTCTCCAAATTTCTGCAGAGAAACAGAGAGTCACTCATGCACAGAATCCCTTTTTGCATACAAACAGAGGAAAGTAGTAGTAGTCAGGGAACCTCCCTCAAAACCCACCTGAGCAACCCACTTGAGCAAGTTTCCAAGAGGGCGAGGGTGGGGATGGGGCCAGGTCCAGTTACCTCATAGGAGTCCCGGATCAGGTCGGCAATGTCAGTCACAGGGTAGGGCTCCTGGTCATCAGAGAAAAAGGCATGGTGGCTGCCGACTGAGGGTCCAGGGCTGTCCTCATTCTTAATGTGATCTAGAAACCTGAGCACACAACCCACCTTTGAAGCACTGGTTTCCCCTCTCACCTGAGCACCACACCACACCCACTACCTTCACAGGGGCCGTGAGACATCTCAGAGCACTTTCAAACAGAGTTCATTTGTCTTCAAACACTGGGAGGAGGGCAAGGTAGCAACCACTGTGCTCCTTTAGAGAAAAGGAGACATCCCTAATGCCAGACTTGTTGATCTGGGCTCCATGGGTGGGTTTGCAGAGATCGGGAACTCTCTGGAAGTCAATACAAAGTTCTGTGCATACATGCAATTGCAAGCTTCCACAGCGTTCCGAAAGGGAAACTCTCATCTGTCTTTCACCTTGCCCTCAGCTCCAAGAAACCCAGATTCCAGTCGTCAGCCTCATGGGGCTTTTCTTTCACTGTAACACACCAGCCCCTGCACATCAAATGTCTGAAACCTCCAGCTAGCTGCGTGAGACCACCATTTCCTAGTGCCCACCTGCCCCATTCAAGGCCACTCTGAGTGTGTATCTCCTCAGAGAAAAGCGCTGAGAGCCCACTCTCCTCCTGTACCCTCTCACTAGCTGGAGAGGAGTGGGGAAGATGGCGCTTTTCACCACACACAGCCAACAGTGCCACCTGATAGGATGACAAGTGGCAGAGTGGAAGGAAAAATTCCACAATGACGGCCCTGCTGGGCACCTGCTGCTGCCTTTACCCATCATCTGTCTGGCAGAGCCCTCGGCTGCCTGCCTCACCCCCCATGAGCCCACCTGCTGAGGACCATGAGGGCCTGGCCATCGTCCTTGCTGCTGCACAGGCCCTCAGCGTTGGCTTCCAGCACGGCCAGCCCCAGCTGGAAAATGGCTTTGATCCCATCGTAGAAGAAGCAATCCACAACGCTCACTGCGCTCTCCAGAGGCATAATGCTGAGGAACAGAGTCAGGAACCACGAGAGAGAGATGGACGCTAGGGCTGAGAGGTCGTTCATGTGCTCCGCCAGCTCGGGGAGGTGCTCCTTGATGAGCTCCTCAAAGACTGACTGGTCTACCTGGGCCCCTGGAAAAGGCAGGCCATGGAGACTTGGTTGGGCAGGGAGTCACACTTTCTAAAGTTAGCCTGAAACTGAAACTAATCTGAGATGATCAGAACAATGAAACCAAACTGGAGTCCAGAAAAGGACTCACACCTGATTTTTGACATTGACTAGGGTAATTCATTGGGGATAGTATTTTCACAAAATAACGCTCAATCAGAGGATACCTGTGTGGGGGAGGGAGGAAGGGGGTGGGAACCTCGAGTTCTACTTCACATCATACAAGAAAATACATCTGAAATGTGTCACAGACCTAAATATAAGAGCTAATACTATAAAGCTTCTCAAGGAAAATAGAGGAAAAAGGCAAAATTTCTTAGGACACAAAAAAGCACTAGCCACAGAAAAAGTTATAAATTGGACTTCATGAAAATTAAAGACTGGTGTTCTTCAAAAAACAATAAAATAATAATACAAACTGTGAACTCAGAAAATATTTGTAATACATGTAAATATTTGTAATACCTGACAAAGGTCTTGTATTCAAAACAACAACTCTTGCAACTTAGTCATCAATAACCAATTTTTCTTTAAATAGGCAAAAGATGTAAGGAGACAATAAACAAATGGCCAGGAAGCACAGAAAAATATGTTGAAGATCCTTAATCAAAGAAAGGCAAATTAAAGCCTCCATGACAGATCCCTTCTTACCCACTAGAATGGCAAAAATTAAAAAGACAATTCCAAGGACTAACAGGGATGTGGAGCAGCTAGAACTTCTACATTGCTGGTGTGAGATGTGTGACTACAGAATATCTTGCTTTGAAAAACAGTTTCTTACAAAATTAAAAATACATCTAACCTGGGACCTAGCAATTCTACTCCTAGGTAAATACTCCAGAAAACAGACAAACTTTATTCACAAAGAGACTTCTACAGGAATGTGTATTGCAACTTTACTTACAATAAAAAACCTGGAAGCAACTCAAATCTCTACTAACAGATGACTGGATAAACAAATCATGGTATAAATGTACAGTGAAGGGCTACTCGGCAATAGGAAGGAACAAATTACTGATGCACCAACAACCTCATGTTATACAAAGGAAGCCAGACACAAAAGAGATTACATTCTCTGTCATTACATTTATACCAAGTTCAAGAATGGGTTGAACTAATCCGTGGTGATGGAAATCAGTATCCTGCCACAGGTGGGGAAGGGGCAGAAGGGAACTTTGTGGGTTATGGAAATACTCCACCCTGCACTGGGTGGTGGTCACACAGTGTGCACATTATCACTGACAGTCTGCTGGTCACCGAGGAGTATGAACTGTGCCATTGCAACACCATCAACAGATGACCGCTTTGGCAACTTGCCTCCCGATGTCCCTGAGGTCTGATGAATCTGTACTACCATGTACAAGGTTAAACTGCCTCCCACAACATAAAGTACAAAGGGGAGCACTCAGGCACATGAAGGGAACCAGGAAAGACGGTCTAAAGTGTACCGAAAGACCACTAAAAGGCACCAAGTGGTCACCTCCTTCCCAGCTAACCCCCCCCTTTACTCTCAGTGGTCATCACATTCCCTCAGGTCTTTGGATACCAGTCTTCAGAAAGCATCTTCTTCCTGCCTTGCTCCTACATCCAGTCCTTTGCCAAATTCTGTCTCAAATTCGTTCTTTTGTTTCTGTTCTCACAGCTGCCACCCTAATATTAGGCCACCTCCAGAAAGGGTATCTAAGAGTATCACCAAGCAGAGGCAATTTTTCTGTCACTTGTCCACTAGGAGGTGCTGGACCACAAAATAATGCAAGTTCAAATCAGCCATAAGAAGAAAAGAAGGTATCAAGTGTGTGCCTGAGAGCTGTGGGGTCACGGGTCTGCCCAGAGCCCAGCAGCAACAAATTTCCAAGTGTGCCCTTCAGGTCCAGCCTCGAGGGTCGCCAGCACTGCTCCATGTGCCTCCTCTCCTCGGGGCGAAAGGGGTCGTCTGTCTGCATGAGCTCCTTGGATACTGAGAGGAAGACCACCCTCCGCTTCCAGGCCACAAGGAAAAACCTCTCTGGTTTTCACTCTTCAACTTGTTTCCTGAGCCTAAGAAATTTTCTTTTCAGGTTACCTCACTACACCATTTTGCTAGAATAGTGCAGAGAATTACACCGGTTAGTTGTGCAAATTCAAGAGCCAAGCAGGGTTTGTACAGAGACCAGCTGAGCAGCACAGGGGATTTTTTACTGAGAACTGATGACACATGTCTTGGCCCAGGCTCTGTCCCTACTCCCCAAGCACAGAGGACGAGGAGGAAGGGGAAGGAGGCACATTACCAATGACTCGGTGGTTGAAGTAGTCGGGGAGCATCCGCTCACACACAGCAACCAGCAGCCAGAAGGCCTCCTCCTCCTTGGCATACAGCAGCAAAACGGAGGTCAGGATGTTCATGGACTGCTCGGGTTCACAGAGGAGGGGACGGTTAGTGACCAGGCCACACAGATACTAAAAACCACACAAGTCAGACTGCAGATGAGAGACCCAGGGCAGCCCAACCACACTGACACTCATGAGGTGGAATGATCACATTATCAACATGGTCCCCACAAGACACACCAGGCTGAGTGACCAGCCATCGTCCCGTTACTGTCCCCATCTAGTAATGCTGAGCCTCAGGCTCAGGTCAAATCCAACCATTCTGTATGTTCAAACACACACAAGACATTCACACACTGATTTTGCTTATTTACAGGAAAACAAAGTTTAAAGTCTTCTATTTTCAAATATCAGAAACGCCTCTAACCCCATCTCATGCTGGGGCCGGAGGGAGGGTGTTTTAATTTACTGAGTTTTATTTTGTGCTTCTTTACCACATCCCTGAGTAAACTTCCCGAGCAAACTCAGCAACTGCTCCGAGGACGTCTTACCTCCACTTGTGCTTCCTGAAGGAAAGGGACTGACCCCAAACATCTTTTTCCTCCCCAAATGGCACTGATATTTTTTTAAATAATCCCCACAACTTCTGTAGAGATCTAGAAAAATAAAGCTCCACAGAAGGGTTATCAGTGCCGTCCTACAGCGGAGGCCTGGAGGGGTGGTGGAGACAATCTGTCCTACCGTGGACAGCAACTCAGCATGTGCACTGCTCTTTGCTCCAAGCAAAGTTTCTAATTTCAAGTAATCAGCCTGTTTGACTATATGAAGATGATTCCTTCAGCCTTATTTGATACATTCTTTCAGGGAAGGGACGAAGCACAGAGCCCTCACAGAACAGTCAGTACCAGACAGCCAAGAACACCAGGAGCTGAAGCCCAGCAGATCAACACAAGACATGGACTCAACACAAGACTGCTCCTCACTGCACGCCTCACCTGGCAGTACCCAATTTTAGGGTTCCGGTGGGCATAAGCCGTCAGGACTCTCCTCAAAGCAGCAATTCCGGTTTCATTTTGGAAGGCGGGGTGCTCTGGTAAGGAACGGTGCAGGTCCCGTTCTATCTCCTCCGTCACCAGGCAACATTTTCCCATGGACTCCTCCACCAGATTACCATAGTAACCAGGATGCGAGGCGAGATCAGTTACGGCATCTGACGATTTAAAAGTAATTTTTCAAGGGGGTGGATTACCAGGATAGAATCAACATGGGGAGGGGGCTTGTCCTGCCGGAAGACCTCAATGGGGTCTCATTACTTGAGGGACATAAAATATTTTGAGACCACACACAACCAAAAGGACTTCATTTCTGCCAAAAACAAAGAAAGAAAGAAAATGAAATAATGTGGCTTTTCTAAGAATAACCTTACATAGAGGGAAACAGCTCATACTAGAAATAACTGTATTAATATGTTTTTAATAAGTTGTATTCTCTCGTAACAGGAAGAGTGGATATGTGGGTGTATTCATACATACAGATGTACACACAATTTTCATATGTTAACTCAACAATAAATTACTGAGCATGTATGTGTGAAACATGTACAATTATGCTTAAGTAATCACACAATTATCAAGGAGCCAACAAGCCAACAACAAGAAAGTCTGAGGCCGGGATCATGATGTGCAGGTCGACCAAGCATAGCCCACCTACTGCTGAGCTCCCACCCAAGCCTCTGACAGGCAGATGACATCAGGGGTGAGGCATCCATAACACATGAGGATCCCATTCCCTTATCAGCCAGCACCAGGGCACCTGTGCTTCCAGCCAATGGTCCTGCTTGGGCGCTAGCGGCAGGTGGGGCTCCAGTCCTGAGACCAGCCCCACACAGGGAGGTCCCAGGAGAGCAGGGCAAGCAGAAAGGGCCCAGTTCTGCCTTTAAATGCTAGGTAAGGTTTTTTACTTCTGACTGGGTTTAGTATACTATGCTCCTCAACTCTCCCATCTGCTGTGATTCCCATCACATCTGATAAACAACCATTACGGCACTCCCCTGTCATCAATGCTTAATACTAACAGCTGTCACTCATTACGCAACAGCCTAAACACCACAGCAATCTTTTTGTCAACACTACTGCTTGAAAGGAAAGACAGCCCTTTATGAACTAGCCTTTTTTTTTTTTTAATAAAACGTGTGTGTATTTTCATTAAAGAGGCAGACGATAAGCCGGTGGCATTAACAGGTGTCACTCATTGGGTGGTAAGATTATGAGTCATGTTACTTTCTTTGCTCGTTCCTCTCTATTTTCTTTCCAACTCTGAGTAGGGGTTGTTTTTATTAGATACAAAAATAGAGAAGGCATTTTTTAATTTTAAAAAGGCCTGTCTTTGGTGGGCAGCTGCAGAAACAAGGCAACAGGTGGGGGGGCTCAGAATGTGAGACAAGGTAAGCAGTGGTAGCAGACCTATCAATAAATGCCAGCAAGTAGGTCAGAAAGCAGGAAATGTGCATCTGGGCACCCAGGGCTGGAGAGGGGATGGGCTTGGTTATTTGGGGGAGAGACTGGGAAGAAGGAAGACAGTAAGGTGGGGTGAGAGTCAGCATGAAGCTGACATGAGGGAAGAATATAAGAAATGTGCAGGGAGGGGCTCCAGGGTGGCTCAGTCGGTTAAGCTCCCGACTTCAGGTCATGATCTCAGTTTGTGAGTTTGAGCCCCACATCAAGCTCTGCACTGACAGTGCGGGGCCTGTTTGGGATTCTCTCCGCCCGCAACTCAATCTCTCTCTGCCCCTCCCTCCCTCCCTCTCTCTCTCTCTCTCAAAATAAAAAAAATAAACTTGTAACAACAACAAAAAAAGTGTACAGGGAAAGTACAGGTGCCCAGGCTCGGCCTCTGGGAGGCCCATGCTGACCTGAGAGCAGCAAGGCCACTGAAGGAAAGGGGACCTCCTCACCATGCCTCCCACTGCACCCTGAAAGGAGCAGCTAAGTCACACCCCTGGACAATAGGGCCTTCCCTTCCTGCCCGCAGGGCCCCACCTCCTCTACCGAGCCAGATGAAACAGCCACACTCAATGCAGAGAAAGACAAACGCCTGCTCAGCCTGTCTCTGGAGAAGTTGGTCCCTGTCTCTGCGCACCCATCAGTGAGTGTCACCAAACAGCACCTGGGGCCTGAGGCCAGACAAGGCCATCACTGAATGGGTCAAGTGGTATAAGAGGAAGACGTGGGCAGAAGAAAAAATGTCCACAATTGTACCTCTTAGGGACCCTGTGTGTCTTCAACAGACAAGGGACCAATAGAAAGTATGCTGGCGGTTGGGGGGGGAGGGGGGGCGCGCCTGGGTGGCTCAGTCGGTTAAGCGTCCGACTTCAGCTCAGGTCACGATCTCACCTCAGGTCACGATCTCACGGTCCGTGAGTTCGAGCCCCGTGTCGGGCTCTGGGCTGATGGCTCGGAGCCTGGGGCCTGCTTCCGATTCTGTGTTTCCCTCTCTCTCTGCCCCTCCCCCGTTCATGCTGTGTCTCTCTCTGTCTCAAAAATAAATAAATGTTAAAGAAAAAATAAAAAAAAAAAAAAGTATGCTGGGGGATTTATTTGAATGCCACTGCAAGTGAACAACATACACAGATTTTTGTTTGTTTAGTGTATTTCAGAATGCATGTCCTAGAGAGATACTTCCCTTCTAGAAGGTTCTTTACAGAATTCTCAGGACTATGTATAGACTCAACATTACTTTTAAAAGAAAGGAGGTCACTTCAGCCAGATCTCACATTGACCAAGGAGAACATCGCAGCCCAGGGGTCTCAGGCAACTTGACCCAGGTCCCACAAGTAACACAGTAAGAGTGCTGAAGTTCTGGGCTGGGAACATCACAGAAAGAATCTAAAGATGGATGACTTGCCTGCACACACACATTGTTCAGATCTGGGCCTCTGTTCCTGTTCTGCTCCAGAAAGAACTTTTGGCCTCAAAATACCAGAAACACTTACCTGAGAAAAGCAGCCAGAGTTTGCCACGTAAAGACTCAGGGATCCCCATGGCTACAAGCTTCCGGATCTTCTCTGTGCGAAACATACACACGGTTCTGCCATATTCCACAAAGTGGTCATTCCACAGGCTTATTTTTATCTGCTCCCTGGACTGCAAATGGAAACTTTGTTAATGTACAAAGAAGCCCGTCCATATCTTCCACTACAGCCCATCCAGAATGCATAGCAGAGGGATGTTGCCTCTGTTAACAGAGGAACCAACAGTAATGGGCAACTGGGTCAGCAAATATTTTTGAAACACTTCCAGGCACAGAGGATGTAAAGATGAATAACAGAGTACCAGCCCTTGTGGAGTTCAGAGCCCAGCAGGAGGGTTTACACAAATAAAATGCCATTTTCTTGGCAAAGTTGATCGTAAGAATATGTTTGTACAAACACTCAAGTCGCCCAAAGCAGATAGGAGGGAGGGGTGGGAGTGGGGGACGTTAGGGAAGCTTCTCAGGATGTTGACAGCAAGCCAGCTGCTGAAACACAGGTCAGCTCAGAGGGCAAATGAGGGCAAGAGGTGGGTGGGGATCCTAATTTACCCTGAACTCTGCCACAACCAGAAGAAAAACTGAAACCTAAAAAAATTACATTGTTCTCATCAGAAACAAGAAAGATACCATTTCTCTAAGCAACTAAAAATCCTTTAAAATCATCTGTAGATGGGGGTGTCTGGGTAGCTCCATCCGATGAGCATCTGACTCTTGATTTCAGCTCAGGTCATGATCTCATGCTTTGTGGTTTGAGCCCCTTGTCAGGCTCTGTGCAGACAGTGTGGAGCCTGCTTGGGATTCTTTCTCTCCCCCTCTCTCTCTCTGCCCCAACCCTGCTTGCACGTACGTGCTCTGTCGCACTCACACTCTCTCTCAAAATAAATAAACTTAAAAAAAAATTATCCCTAGATGGCCTTTTAAGCAAGACTTCCATAGATACCCCTGGCACATGGGTCCCAACGCAGCTTCCTTCTAGCCATCATATCTTTTAAGAGTACAATTTCTAGCCCATTCACCCTATTGTATGTAACCTTGCCCTTACATTCTCCCTACAAAGAGGATGAGTATAAATAAATGTAATAGAAATATCTTCAGTCCAGTAAAACTACAGTATAGGAGACCTTTTGTTCCAGGAGAGAAACAAGAAACGTTGTAAAAGGAACCCACACAGACACCACTGGGTAAGAAGAGAAACACTCGTTCTGTATCTGCAAGAACCCACAGAGGACAGCACTGATGGCTCTACAGGTCACATGGCCAAGAGTTTCGTCAAAGAGCCACTTAATAGGGCAGGTAGGAAAGTCATTGCCCTTGGTCATTTGACCACATCCTCCATGTATCCAGATGTGCCCAGGCAACTGGAATCAGCTGACCCCCTCCCACTACTGCCAAAGAGGAAGAGGGAGGGGCGCTAGCCGCTGGGGCTGCACGGCCACCCGCACCACACCTGCTCTCCCGAGGCCTGCGGGGTTGGGGCTCAAGAAGGCAGAGCCATGCCACCCACCATTCGCAAGTCGGGGCTCTGGCTGCCCGACTGCTGGAAGACAGATATCAGGGCCTCGGGGTGCAGGCGCGGGCTCTTCTCTTTTTCACTTTCCTCACTATTTTGAGAGGACACCATTTCAAGATCTCCAAACTTGTGGTCACCGCACATGCTTGTTGAATGAAACACAGGTGAAGTCTGCTGGAAAGAAAAAAGGAGGGGAGCCAAAAGAAAGTCACCGCTTTACCTACGGAAGAGTCTTTGTTTTGCCTTTGGAGGCATGAAGATAACATACTTAAACATGCCTATTAATGACTCAAGGGAAACAGACTAACATTAGACCCAACAGATTTGATCCTCATTGTGCTTTCCCAGTAAGGCTGTTCACACACACCCAGCATGGGTCCAACAGGGAGCCAGCCAAGCACCACTTCTTGTATGCTTCCAGAACTGAGGATGTCAATCTTCAAAAAACAACTCTACGGTACGGAGAGACTATCTCCTTTCCTCCCTCTCACTGCGTGGGTAAGAAGCAGTCAAGCAAGAGAGGGACAGGCGTGTAACAACAGGAGACAAGGCCCCAGCAGATCCGGGTCTGTTTTACAGCTGTCCAACCTTAAGGACAATGTAACTTCTCTTTTAACAAGTTACATCCGCCCCCAAATAACATCCAAAGTCAGGTGGGGGGCACTGACCCTTCCAACCTGTGAGGGGTTTGTTCACTAACCTGCGGGTCAATTCCCCAATCAAACCCTCCAACCTGTGAGTGGTGCCCTGTCAATCCCTTTGCCATATGGGTGTCTCCCACCAACCTAACATACGGAGGGGTGCCCATCAGATCCACTCACCTCTGCTGAGGGGTGCCCTATGAACCCCTGTAACCTGTGAACAGGGGGCCCCGTTAGCCCCTCCAACCGCTCATCTGCATGGGGCACCCTCGGACCTGTGTAGCACCCACTCAGGATCCCTCGAGTATCAGAAGCGATACAGTGTCTGGTACACAGGTCCAGTCATCTCTTACACACTTCTCTCATACTCAAGTAGATTAGTGTCACGTGCACACCCTTTAGAGATCACTGCCCTGGAGGTGGTGAGGAAAGAGACCCTCATTTTATAGGATCCCACTGTTTCTAAGGATCATACCATGTCTTCATCTTGGGAGGTGTCATAATGCACGGGGTGGTTGGCGTGCACCCGCTGCAGCCTCACGAGCAGGCTCCCCACCAAGCTATCTCTGTCCTTTAGCTCAATGAACTGGAAGGCCATCTTGCTCCTGATGCTGACAATGACGGGATTAGGTAGCAGACTTGTGTCCTCCATCTTCTCAATGCTCACCACCTATTGCAAAAAAATTATACACAAAGGTGCAGCAAGAGAAAAAGGAGGGCACACATTTCAGTTACATATTTAGAAAATATCATGTGCTAGAAAGTAAAACCAAGTGACTTCAATAAGGAACTGATACAAAGGTTAAAAAGTGGTAAGGCAGCAAGCATATTCACAAGAGCCAAAAGGTCAAAATAACCCAAGTATCCATCAGCAGGTGAACGCAGAAACAAAATGTACTCTATCCACACAAGGGAATATTACTCAGCCTTAAATAGGAGAGAAATTCTGACACCTGCTACAACACGGAATGAACCTTGAGGACATTATGCTAAGTGAAATAAGCCAGACACAAACAGGCAAGTGTTGTATGATTCCACTTACAAGAGGGAACTAGAGCTATCACATTCAGAAAAAGAAAGTAGAGTGGTGGTTGCCTGGGGCTGTGGGAGGGAGGATGGGGAGTTAGTGCATAATGGAGACAGAGTTTCAGTTTGGGAAAATGAAGAAGTTCTGGTAACGGGTACACAATAATGTGATGTATTTAATGCCACTGCACCGTAACACTTAAACATGGGTGAAGTGAGGGGCACCTGGGTGGCTCAGTTGGTTAAGCGTCCGACTTCGGCTCAGGTCACGATCTCGTGGTTCATGGGTTTGAGCCCCATGTTGGGCTCTGTGCTGACAGCTCAGAGCCTGGAGCCTGCTTCGGATTCTGTATCTCCCTCTCTCTCTGTCCCTCCCCTGCTCATAGTCTCTCTTGTCTCTCTCTCTCTCTCTCTCTCAAAAATAAACATTAAAAATTTTTCTTTAAAAAATGGGTGAAGTGCTAAATGCAATGTCATATATATGTTACAACAATAAAACAAGTATGTACGTAAGACAACCCTTGGATTTCTTGCTCCACTCCAAAGTAAGAATATTTGCAAAATGAAAACAGCTAGAAAATGACATGGAGGGAGATCACACAAATGAAAAAAATTTGAGTTTTTCCAAAGAGCAGTGCTTAGAATTTGGAGGTCCTGGTGTGAAACAAGAGTTGCTGTTACTGTCCCAACAGACATGCCTTGAAACCGAAGGACTGGGCTTATCAGATCCAGAAGTGGCCGCAGGTTGCCTTGCATTTCCGGGAACACAACTGCACAATTTTCTAGGAGGAAGGGACCTGATCCATGTTAAAGGAAACATTTTTTAAATGTTTAACTCAAGTCCCAGGAGGGTATAAAAGCCAAGCAATCTGACATTTTCAAAAGGTGATGCTTTTTTTGTCAGTTGTTTTTTTGCTTTCCCCATTTTTGTGAGTGAAACGGGTGGATTCATTCCTAAGGGCTGTTGGAAAAGCTTTAATTGCTAGGCATGTACTTTCTAATGAGAACTTTATCAAAAACCCTGAGGTGAGAGTGTTTTATTCTCACCAATCACTTCTATGCAAATTTCAGGTGCTGTAGCAACGACAGAAAAAACAACAACCAAATCAGTACTCGTCAAATTCAGGCCGTGCTTCCCTCCAGAGGCCCGTGTTTAGCTGGCCAAACCCTGCTGGCTGAGCACCCCTGCCTATGCCAGGTCTCACAGTGACCACGGGCTCAAGGATGAAAGGTGGGCTTGGGAAGCTCCTGCCAGGGCGGCTACCTCTCTGAGCGGGAGGATGACATTACAGCAGCCGTCCTCCTTGCTGGCGAAGCAGATGTAACGGTCAGATGTGAACATCCGCCCGACGGTGTGACAGCGACTGAACGGCGTCCACAGCGAACAGTCCACGACTGCGTGCAGCTTCTCTTGCCTCGGCAGCCTGAAGAAAGCCCGGAAGAACTCATTCTGTGCTCTGGCTTCAAGGTCCCTGGCGAAGGAGGGACAGAGAAGAAGAAGAGGCAGGAATGGTGACTGAACACACTGGAGTACAAAGAAAAACCCTGTGAAACCACTCACTGGCATAGCCGGATATTGAAGTGGATGCCAAAAGGTGCTGGAGCCCCTCCAGGTCCTGCATGGGTCATTAGCGTGCACCCCACTTCACAGCCAATCTTTGGAACGTGTACTCAAGGCAGAAGGGGCTGCCCCTGAGCAAAAGTATTATGACAAACTCACAGACCTTCCTTCCTGGTTTGAGTAACATTGTGAATTACCATAAAACAATGAAGAATCCAGTATCCAAAAGTCAGATAACAACAAGGGTTGACAAAGATGTGGAGAAACTGACACCTTCGCACACTGCTGGTGGGATTGTGCAGCCACTTTGGGCAACAGTCTGGCTGTTTCTCAAAAGGCTCAACATGGAGTTACCATAAGACCCTGCAATTCCCCGCCTAGGTATACACCCAAGAGAACTGAAAATGTACATCTGCTGAAAACCCTGTACACGCGTGTTCACAGCAGCATTATTCATAATAGCCAAGAACTGGCAACAACCCAAATGTCCATCAACTGATAAATGGATAAACACAACATGACAGGGCCACACCATGGAATATTACTCGGCCACACTGCCGAGCAACAAAGTACAGACACATGCTACAACACGGGTGAACCCTGAAAACCTTACAGATACAAAAGACTGCACTGCCTGATTGCATTTATATGGAATTTCCAGAATGGGCAAAACTCATAACCACAGAAAATAGATTAGTGATTGCTTAGGGCTGGGGATAAAGGGAGAAGTGGGGAGTGACTACTCATGAGTACAGGGTTTCTTCTTGGGGTGAAGAAAATGTTCTAAATCAATTGTGGTGATGGTTGCACAGCTCTGTGAATAGACTAAAAAACCACTGAATGGACACTTTAACAGGGTGAATTGTATGAATTATGTGTATGAATTAAATGTATGAATTATAGCTCAAAAAAGCTTTAAAAAAATTTAGATCTGTAGGGGCATATAGTAAGTGCTGAATAATCATTAACTATTATTACCTTTAAAAAACAAATCCAGGGGCACCTGGGTGACTCAGTCAGTTAAGTGTCCAACTCTTGGTTTCAACTCAAGTCATGATCTTACAGTTCATGGGATCAAGCCCTGCATTGGGCTCACAGTGACAGTGTGGAACCTGCTTGGAATACTCTCTCCCTCTCCCTGTGCCCTTCCCCCTCTCATGCACACTCTCTCTTAAATTAAAAAAAAAAAAAAAATCCTTCTAAATAAAAAAAATCTAAGTAAAGTATTGCCAGAGAGAAGCACATCAGTGTCACATCAGTGTCACATCAGTACAGACAGCAGAGAATGGTGGTGAGGTAGGGGAGAGATCCTACCCCAGGGAACCCCCACCAAACCCTGATTCTTGGCTGTAACATCCAGTAAAGCAAGAAGGCAGCCAAATCACAACGTTTAAAAATACTGATGAATGTATGTCATACCCCAAAATTCTAGTAGAAGGGAAATTCCACTGTACAAAGATAAAAAATTTTATTTGTGGGGCGCCTGGGTGGTTCAGTCAGTTAAGCATCTGACTCGATTTTGACTCAGGTCATGATCTCACAGTCATGAGATCAAGCCCCACATTGGGTTCTGTGCTCAGCTTGGAGCTGGCTTGGGATTCTCTCTCTCCTCCACTCTGCCCCTCTCCCACTCATGTTTTCTCTCTCAAAAAAATTTTTTTTCCTTGCCACATTAAATAAGAGTTCTTTAACTTTGTCTGATATAATTAGCACTATGCTCAAAGTAAGGAATATGAACTCTTGGCTTATTAGCTGTGTGACCTTAGACACACTCCTCCATATCACATCCTGACATCTGTAAAATGGAAACAATACCTAACCTTTCTGCTTCAAGGGACCCCTGCAAACATAAAATGATGTCCACAATATTGAGAAAGCAGGTTAGAAACAGTATCTACAGGGGTGCCTGGGTGGCTCAGTTGGTTGGGCATCAGACTCTTGGTTTCCATTCAGGTCATGATCTCATGGTTCATGGGATCGAGCCCTGTGCTGGGCTCTGCACTGACAGCTTGGAGCCTGCTGGGGATCCTCTCTCTCCCTCTCTCTATGCCTCTCCCCTGCTCATGCTTGTGCTCTCCCTCTTTCAAAAAATAAAAATAAAAAAAATAATTAAAAAAATAAACAGCATCTACAGTATGACCCCATTTACATAGATTCTATATAATTTGCAGAAAGTGATGTGTAAAAAGACTTTGCCTAAAATGTTAATAGCAGTTGACTCTTCACTGTAGGATTTCCACTTTTCATTTTATTCTGCTTAAACTTTCTACCTGACCATGTATTGTTAGCTTTTTAAAAAATTATTCCATTTTCTTTTAGGAAAAGAGAAATTTTTTAAATATTGCATAAAAGAAAAGTATGAAACTCTGCAGCCTGAGTGATCTTTTAGACACGTGCCCCCCTCACCAGGGCCATGCTTGCACACAGATGCCCTTTCTGCCCCTGTTCTCGTTCCCAACCCAGTCCTTGTTTTCACACCATCACACAACTGTCTTCCCAGAGACACCCCTCCCCCCCACCCCAGAGATGGGCGAGTGCTTGGAATTTATTATCAAACCCTCACAAAGAAAAGATACTTACATGTCCAGAAAGTTCTCTAGGTACAGAAAGAAACTATATAAATTCCAAGATCAAGATGGGTCCAGTTACTGCAGGCCAAAGCTACAGTTCCTTACCCCGCAGTGCTGATATTCCACAGATGGCTGTTTCCAAAGGAGCCTACACTTGCTCCACAGAGGAGCCGGGAGAACATGGGAAAGCACCATGAATGCTCTAGAAATTCATGTACTACAGGATGGAAGGCAAGGCCCCTCAAGATCACCCCAGTTCCCTGAAAGCAGGGAGGAGACACATACATTCAACACATTTACGCTGGAAGACTTACATCCTTGTCCCCAAAGCATGCTGGCCAGGCTGGCTGTGGTGAAAGTGAAGCCAGTGCAGCCTGTCTGTACTTATCTTACAGATGTGGCTCCAGCCACCACTGAATTCACCTGTTGGCTACTCTTCCCTAGAAGCACAGAGAGAGGGGATGGAAAGACTTTTTGTATTTACTTTGCATCCAGCTCTTCAATTTAAGAGTTAAGGTGCTCAGTTATCTGATGTTTCTATTCAGTACACCCGCTGCGTCAGCCAGCAGCTCAGTTCAGCCCCCTTCTCCATACTACACACCATCTCCATTCTCCTTTCTGGGCTGTTCCCTGTCACTCCAAGGGTCCATCTCTCACACATTCAGCAGCCAGAGACCAGTGACCTAGCATTACAAGAGAGAAAGCAGCAGGAGGGACTTCTGAAGTCATCTTCCTTCCTTAGAAAGTTCTCTTCCAATTCTACTTCTAAATATGCATTACATGTATATATGTGGTATTTAACTTTCCGACATAACTGAGATGAAGACCAGCAGCTTGAGAGATGAGTAGCACAAGCCCTTTATGAAGCTCAGAGTAAGACGGCCTCATCCCTTGGGTCTGTTTCCAAGCAGGTGATAGTTGTGATGCTAAAAATGCCAGCTCGTCTTTCTGAAGAGCACCAAAAACAAAGCCTGCTGGCCACAATTTGCCTTTCAGACCTTCTAGCACTTACTAAATGTTCCCACTTTTCCTCCATAGAGATGACCAACAGACATGGGTCATAACCTACCATTCAGAAAGCACTAGCTAAGCTCGGGCCTGAAAGCCACAGCAGAAGTGCCCCCAGAAAGATGGAAACTAGCCCAGCAACCCTGACAGTATTCACCAGCTCTTGTCCACGGTGCTGGTATGTGCCGGCCAAAGCAACTGCTCCAAGAGAAAGCTACAGTGGAGAAGAGAGGGGGAAGGTGCCACAAATCATCCTGTCTTAACACATGTCATTGTATGAGCCCGGAATCACCTGGAAATCAACAGGGGTTCATCAGAATATGGAGCAACACCAAGCTTGCTGTTAAAGCTGAAATTAATATGTGCAATTCTGCATGACAACCATGCAGAAAATTCTAGACTATATGCAGACAATTTAAAAATCCAGACTTGGGTGCCTGGATGGCTCAGTCGGTTAAGCATCTGATTCTTGATTTTGGCTCAGGTCATGGTCTCATGATTCACAGGCTTGAGCCCCACATCAGGCTCTGCACTGACAGCACAGAGCCTACTTGGGATTCTCTCTCTGCTCCTGTCTGCTTCTCCTCCACTCCCGCTTAAAAATAAATAAATAAACTTAAAAAAAAATCTAGACTTAATTTCTTAGACCTCAGACCCAAGAAATGAAGGGGTAGGTAGTTCTTTTGTTTCTCTGCAAACCTAGAATTAGATTTTCCCCTCCTAGTTTAGATACAGGTATCAAAAATAGGTTTCCCCTCTCTCTTACCCATCAACCTTTTAGAATGCTTTAGGGAAAACCTGTATTAGGCCTTATACACAAACTCTCCCTCCCTCATTTATCACTCATGCACATATACAAACCTACTGTGTGTCAGCAGCTCAGAGCTTCTCAAGGTCAAATGCTTCCACAAACTCAGTCTGTGTGTCAGGCTGGGGCAGATGGGCTAGCTCAGGGTGTGAGGACTTCCTATCTGTGTCCTCAACAGGAGGCCTCAAGCACCATCCCAGCCCTGCTGGAATATCTCAGTCCTCTGCAGCCAGTCAGCCCCAGAAAAACACATACAACGATTTCTGGAGGCTCTTAGTTAACATACTTGCCCACAGACCCACGCCCAGCTCCTCTGAAACTCTGGAATATACCAAGAACCAATAATGTAGAAACAAGGCAGAAAGGCCAGATACACTATGTCTCCTCAAAGCCCTAGTATGCACATAAAACACTGTGTTTCTCTAATGTGTGTTTACTTAAAACACCTTTCCTCAGCCTTACCCCAAGAGCACTCCGGAAACAGAAGGACAACATTGCCCTGCAACATCTTACGCTGGCTCCCCT